AATTTGCATTTATTTTGTCTATTTTTTCTTGTTGTGTTTTCCTGAATTCTTTAAAGATCTTGTAGTGTTCTCCTTGCTTTCTTCTTTCTATCAATCCTTTGAAGACTTGATAGAATTAATCAATTAATTAATTAACATTCTTTTGAATTTTTGTTTCAGTTAGTTCCACTACCTTTTCTTCAGAAACATTTTCTGGTTCTGCATCTTGGACATTTGTTTGAGCCACTGTCTCTTGTCTTTTGTTTCCAGAGTATTGTGCAATTGTTAGACCCAGAGGGGACAAATCTCTGGGTGTTTCCTGCTATTCAAAAAGCTCATGAGGTAGTTGTGAAAAAGCTGTTACAGCAGAGTTCCTTGCCCTAGGTGAAGTTCCTGTTGACTTCAGTGTTATTTGTTCCTCTTCATTTCTTGGGGCTGCTCTTTCACTGTATTCCTCTTTATGCTTTCTTGCTTTTCTTCTCTAGAAGAGAAGTGACTCCAGAATGGAGTGACTCCAATTCTATTGCTCTGTCCCTTGCCTCCTGATTCAGCTTTTTCCTTGAAAATTTGTTAGCTGTGGTAGAGTTGGTCCTACTCATAGCAACCATATATATTCATACAGAATGAAACATTGCCTGGTCCTGCACCGTCCTCACAATTGTTAAGCTTGAGCCCATTGCTGCTACCATCAGGCCAATTCATCTCATTGGGGGTCTTCCTCTTTTTCCCTGACCTTCTACTTTTCCTTCTCCAGGGACTGGCCCTTCCTGATAATATGTCCTGGCTTCTAAGGAGCATTCTGGTTGTACTTCTTCCAAGACAGATATATTTGTTCTTCTGGAAGTCTATGGTATTTTAATATTCTTTAACACCATAAGTCAAATGCCTCAATTCTTCTACGATCTTCTTTATTCATTTTCCAAGTTTCACATGCATATGAGGCTATTGAAAATACCATAACTTGCACCAGGCACATCTTAGTCCTTCAACTGGTATCTTTGTTTTTGAACACTTTGTTGTTATGTGCTGTGGAGTCGGTTCTGACTCTGTATAGGGTTTCCCAGGCTATAAATCTTTACGGGAGCAGAAAGCCTCCTCTTTCTCCTGCAGAACAGCTGCTAGTTTCGAACTGCTGACCATGAGATTAGCAGCCCGATTCGTAACCACTATGCTACCAGAGCTTCTTTCTTGAACACTTTAAAGAGGTCTTATAGTAATGTAGAATTATATTTCCTGGGCTTTGCTTTTGAGGACTTGGTTAGTTGTGTTCATCCCTGTCACACTCCAGTTCCACATTTTTTTTATCCTTTTCAAGTCATTGTTCTTCCCAGATGGGTGTGAAATAATTGATTTTGGAACTGTCAGATAAGTTCTGGGTTCTGTTAGTGTATGTCCTTAGGTCTCCCCATCTATGGAGCATTGTGAAGGATAAAGCATCTTGGTGAAGAGAAGATGGAAGTGGGCAAGGAAAGTGAAGAGGGGTGGGGAGGAATCCACTGGTAGGGGAAAGCAGGAGAGAGATTTAAGGGCTATGTTTGCCAGAATCATATATATCTTTGAAGCTTTTTATCAAATTTTTTGTTAGCAAGTAATTTTAAAAGTAAGCCTATAAGAAGTTGTTGATAAGTGCTGACAAGTCAATTCCAACTCATAGTGACCTTGTAGAGGGTTTCTGAGGAGTAACTGGTGGATTTGAACCACTGACCTGTGGGTTAGTAGTTCAGTACTTATCCTATAGCAGGACAAATTCCATCCCCTTGCTTTACACCAGTGAAGTGGTTAAGTGCTTGGTTAGCTTTATGATTCAAATCCACTAGCCATTCTTTGAGAAACGATATGGGAGTCTACTTCCATAAAGGTTTACAACAAGCCTTGGAAAACAACGTATGGGGCAGTTCTACTACTATGTCCTGTGAGTCACTATGAGTCACAGTTAACTCCATAGCAGTGTTTTTGATTTTTGCTTTGTATCCCCAAAATTTTGAGTCCTAGGTTATTTGATTAAAATGACAAAATTGGAATAGAATCCAAATTGAGTTTTGCTCAACTTCAGACCAAATATTCCTAAATCTGACTTTTGAATCAGAATTATCTAAGGTACACCTGGTATGGCACTATAGGATAAGCACTGAATTGTTAACCACAAGGTTTGTGGTTCAAATCTACAACCACTCCTTGGCAATCCTATACAGGGTCACTATGAATCTGAACAGACTCAATGGCACTAAACAACAACAACAATTTTATAAAACTACAGAATCTGGGGCCTCTCTCCAGAATTATTTATCTGTAAGAGTAGGGCGAGCCCCAGACTGCTTCTAATAGCCTTGCCTCAGGCTTTGACAGCCAGGACGGGGGACGTCTGCTTATTTGTGCATCTCTGGTCTTTAGTTACAAGTCCATGTGGCAGAGGTCTGTGTGGGCCTGTGGATCCTAGAAATACATATCAAGCAGTACTAGAGGTGTCATGTACAATGCTGCTCGTATTTCTTAGTATTTGGCTGATGGAGGAACTGGAGGGTCAGGGTTCAAAAAGTGATTGAGTTTGACTCTGCACTCAAAATGGTGGTTAAGTGCTGTTGAGTCAGTTCTGACTTAGGACTCTGTATATGGTTTCCAAGAAGCACCTGGTGGGTTTGAACAGCTGACCTTTGTGGTTAGCAGTCCAGTGCACCACACCAACAGTTCAGTCTTAATTACTTTTTAGCAGGGGATAGAGAGAGTACTAAGGAAGACTGCATTGGGTTTGTTCTTACCGAAAGGAAGGTCTGAATTTCATTTTGAGTATTCTCCCTATCCTTTCTGTTCCCCTCAAACCCTTCACCATTCTTGTTTTGATTATTTCACTGTGCTTCTCTTTAGAATGCATGATCTTTTCCTTCCTGTCTTCTCTAGACTTCTTATAAGGTTAGATATTAAATCTACCAGTTGTAACAACACTGACATTTGATTGGTAATAGAAACAGGCTTCATTAACATTTGCCTGGCTCTGGAAAGGAGTTGATTTTGTCAGATGTGGTCTGATTCAGAGAGAAGTGGGAGGATGGGTGAGCCTAGTGAAGTCTCTAGTAAAGGAAAGGATGCTGCTCTCTGGAGCAGCTCTGTGACCAGCCTCTCTGTACCCTGCTGCCTCGTATACTTGGCACCCTTCTGCACTGACACTCATCAGCCATTGCTCTGTGATGTCCTTGGGATGGGAGCTGTACTCACCTTGATTTTTCTTTTTTCCTAGATTCACTTATGAAGATTACCAGGAAACGGCAGAATGGCTTCTGTCCCACGCCAACCACCGACCTGAAGTGGCAGTGATCTGTGGCTCTGGGTTAGGAGGTCTGGCTGACAAAGTAACTCAGGCCCAGACCTTTGACTACAGTGATATACCCAACTTTCCCCAAAGTACAGGTACTGGCAGTGGGACTAGGAGGATGGGACTGAGGGATATTGATGGGATTCTGTAGAATCCAATCTATGAAGGTCAATGGTTCTAAACCTAAACCTCTGGAGTATCTGGTTATACTCTTTAGGCTTTAACCAAAAGCCAGAACTATTAGGAAAAAGTCCATCTTGAGTCAGAACGACTTCAGGACATTACCCACGCTGAGATCTCATAATAGACTGGGGCATGCTTATGTTGGTGGTACTACATGATGACAGTTTTGACTATGCTTATCTGACTTAAGGTGTCTTAGTGTGGCTCTGTAGGAGAAGCACTGGACTGCTAACCACAAGGTCAATGGTTCAAACCCACCAGCTCTCCTGGGAAACCCTATACCGGGGTTGCTATGAGTCGGAATCAACTCAATGGTGCACAACAAGAGTACATTTGACTTAAGACTCCTTAAAACTCCACAATAATTCTCCCCTCCCCCATATACTATCATTAACACACATACACTTGGATTGTGGTGAAAAGTAGTGTCTGAAAACTCCCAGTGCACAGTCCTGCTTCCTATCTGATATCTTCCATGCGGATGTCCTTGGAACGGGAGTGGAACTCACTTCTAGTAGAAGACTTTGGTATCCAGCAAACAGACACCCATGTTCTTACAGACATGTACACAGATAATACATGAATATATAAGACCTGCTTCAGACTGAGCCTTTGGAAAGCAGAAAGGGTGAAGAGTGTCCCCTATATACAGTATAGCTCTGATAGAAGAATATTTCTAATGTGGTATCTGAGAATATCATTCTGTCAGCATTCTAATCATGTTCAGAAAGGTCAGTGGCTAACACTTAAAAAAGAGCCAAGTAAAATAGGTGCAAGAGAGGACAAGGGTAGTTAAATCTGTTTACTTATTAATTTCTCTGTTAACTTACTGCTCCTGTTTATACTCAGTTTTATCTTCCTTCCACTTTCCTCCTGGAGAATTAAAATGTTTACAAACTATTGTTAAAACCTTTTTGAGCAAAACTGAAAGACTGGAGCAGGAAAGTGTCAATGGGGATTAGAGAAGAGAATTTTTAAAATGAGAGAGAGGGCACAGTTTCCAGGAGAGATAATAGTGACATAGGCTCCATCTGGCATTCCCGGCCCCAGTGAGATGTGCCCTGTACTCAAGTGATAAGTGGACTATTATTTTTTAAATTTAATTCATCCATCCATTTATATATTCCACTGGGGTTTTCCTACCTGTATTAGTGTCATGGTTGCTCTAATTACTTTAAAAATTTTTTTTCAAATCAGCTTCTGTATCTTTCCATTCTCTTTCCAGACCATTCATTCCCTAAGGGGTGGGTTGGCCAGGATACTACCAGATAGAGGGAATAGTAATAATGGTGATTATGTCTGTTTAAGGAATTATCTTAGCCTCCTGCGCCCCCGCTTGCTCCAGTGTGGGCATGTATTCCCACAGGTCATAAGGGAGGGGACGTGCAAGGGTACAGGCTCTGTCCTTTTCATCCTTGTTCACTGATCTGCTCTTTAGGAAGCTACACATCTTGAGCTCCCTTTCTAAGTGTGAAGGCAGAGAATGTGTTCAGGCCAATAAATTAGAACATAAATTTTGTTTTGAAAATTTTGAAATTTTTTGAAAAAGAGTACTATGTTTATTTCTTCATTGCTTTTGTTAAGTGCCGTAAAGTCAGTTACGACCCATAGCAACCCTGTATAGGGTTTCCAAAGAGCGACTGGTGAGCTATGACTGCCGACCTTGTGATTCAAACCAACCTTGCAGTCTAGCGCAAGCCACAGCGCCACACCAGGATTTCACCATTGCTCATTTTTTTACACTTTAAATTTACTTGCAGTATGACTTTCTTTTGAAATTTCTTGTAGTATGACTTTACTTGCCATGTGAATTTACTTGCAGTATGACTTTCTCTTGAAATTTCTTTCAGAAGCCTTATTCTAACAAAGACCATTCTTTTACCCATAGCCCTAATCTCTGATTGTGCTTACATAGTTATATGTACAGTTGGAATTCATGTCTATCTCCCTTATCAGACAAAAACTCTCTGAAAGCAAAGACAATAATAGCTTTTACTGTTTCATTATTCCCTCATGTTTTGAGCATACTGTGTGACTGTAGTAAGTTATCAATGTTGCATGAAAGCATCATTTCCCTTTCTTGTTCTGTACAGTTCCAGGACATGCTGGTCAACTGGTGTTTGGGTACCTGAATGGCAGGGCCTGTGTGGTGATGAAGGGCAGATTCCACTTGTATGAAGGCTACCCACTCTGGAAGGTAAATGGGCATAAATCTGGTTGGCTCTGTGAGAAGGGGAAGAAAATGACTTACCACAAGGCAGTTTTTCTTACTTTCTATCTCACTATCTAACTATCTAGGCTATGTAGATTTATGGTCCCTTCCGTCTTTCCAGTCTTTCATGATGTGGGTCATGTACGTGGGAGCTTCAAAAGTTTGTGGGAAAATTCTTTTGATTTCATTTTCCTATGAACTTTCTGAAAATCTCCTCATGTATCTGTGTAGCTGGACTGATGAGATTTTAAATGCTTTTAATCTGTTTCTTCAAAGGTCACATTCCCAGTGAGGGTTTTCAAGCTTCTGGGTGTGGACACCCTAGTGGTCACCAATGCTGCTGGAGGACTCAACCCCAAGTTTGAGGTTGGCGATATCATGCTGATCCGTGATCATATCAACCTACCTGGTTTCTCTGGTCAGAATCCTTTGATAGGCCCCAATGAGGAAAGGTACATGATTTGACTCCTTTGTTTCTAGATGGGTGGGGCTTAAGGATTTATTGAAGAGCTCATTGTAGTCCATTAATCTGAGGTAATCTTCTAACCTGGTCCTTAGGTTTGGAGTTCGTTTCCCTCCCATGTCTGATGCTTATGACCGACATCTGAGGCAGATGGCTCACTTTAACTGGAAACAAATGGGGGAAGAGCGAGAACTCCAGGAAGGCACCTATGTGATGTTGGCAGGCCCCAACTTTGAGACGGTGGCCGAGTCTCGTCTGCTGCAGAAGCTGGGGGCAGATGCTGTTGGTGAGATGGGGAAATTGGCTGGAGGCTTGGCTAGGGAGTGATCGGTAAAAAGGGATTGGGAGGAGTAGGAGGGAGATTACAGACCTAGAGGGTAGGACAAGAGATAATCTAATTTAAGGGAAATTGAATTGATCTGATTTCTATTCTAGGATACTAAATTAGTGAACACCAAACACTAATTTAGGGCTTTACCAATTACAGATAATACCAGCGTGATTGATATAATCCATGCTACTGGACCTGACTATGACTTGATTATTTCAAAGGATTATTCTAACAGATAGCATGGTCACCTTCAGTGTCACTGGCTTGAAGGGGGCATTGTGCCATTGGAACCCAAAGAAAAATCCCAACCAGTTGCCATGGATTCTGACTCATGGCAACTCCATGTGTTTCAAAGTAGAAATTTCTCCACTGGGAGGGACCTGTGACTCCACGGCTATGATCTTTTAGAAGTAGATCACCAGACCTTTTTTCTGAGGTGTCTCTGGTGGATTTGAACCAGCCTTTTAGTAGGAAGTGATTATTAGCATCAACTTTAAAATTCCCAAAAACAAATCTAGTGGTTTCACATTGCATTCATGATATTTTAAGAACTATGTATTCTGAAGCCCCATTTAAGTTTAATCAGTATGCAACAACAATGACAACTTAATACAGTCACTTAAATGATAAATTTGGATTTTTGAGGAGGCATTCAGATTTTTAATTCTGAGCTGGTAAGCAATGGAAATAAGGGTAAACGGTGAGGAAGAGTCATTTGAGGATCCTGACAATTGGTTTCCATCTCTCTGCCCACCAGGCATGAGCACTGTACCAGAAGTTATAGTTGCACGACACTGTGGACTTCGAGTCTTTGGCTTCTCCCTCATCACTAACAAGGTCGTCATGAATTATGAGACCCTGGAAAAAGCCAACCACGAGGAAGTACTAGAGGCTGGAAAACAAGCGGCACAGAAATTGGAACAGTTCGTCTCCAGTCTTATGTCTAACATCGTGCCTTCTTCCAATGCTAGTTGATTAGCCTCTGCCTTATGAGATCCAAGTAGCTGCTGCTGACTGTGGGCCTTTTCTGTATCACCTGTTTTAGCTTTAGGTAGTAAAAAGGAATGGAGGATTCCTATCCTTTACCTTGTTCATTTTTCTTACGAGTCCCTTCTAGTTCCAGGTTCTTTTTTGCTCAGTTGTCTTCCCAAAGCAGTTTTTCTACCTGTTGTTCCTTAGACTGGAGTCCATGCCTTACCACATATCTATGGATATGCCCAAGATTTCACTTGGGCCTTCAAACTTGTCACAGTAACTGCTAACTTTTTGAGATAATGCTTTCACATTCCTAGGCGTGAGTTCTGCCACCAACATGACACTGGACACCACACATAAGCATAACTCTTACTAATTTTAATACCATCATGCTTTGAGAATAAAGAAAAATATGTATTATTTATTCCTTTTTGTACAACTTGGTGAGGCTGGTACATAGGCCAACATTGATGGGAAATAGTGTGAGACCCTAAGTCCTGTGTGACTTTTATCTGCATTTAGATAAATGTGGTATTTGAATGATGAAGATGTAGGGGGAAATGATGAAAGAGATGATGACAAGAAAGAAAGGTCAAAAGTCTGGCACAGGATGTCATCACTTCCCTCATCCCAGTCTTAACCTCTGTCTCTTGCCTTCTAATTATTTCTCTCTCTGTCTACTCACATGAGTTAGTTCTCTTGATCGCAGCTTCTGCTCCTTAGTTGCCACTTCTTGGTTAAGGTCTTGTCTTAGTCATCTAGACAAATATAATAAGTGGGTGGCTTTTTTCTGACCATTTAGGAGACTAGAAGTCTCCATATAGGGCACTGACCTTTTTCTGATGACTTTGGAAGAAGGTCCTTTTCTCTGAGCTTCTGCACCAAGGGGATCTTTATGTGACTTGCCATCTCTCTTCCCCCATCTCTGTTTGCCACTATGTGTTTCATAAATTTTAGGTCTCAACAGAGATTTAAGACATAATCTACACTAATGCTGCCTCATTAATATAACAGAAAACTCATTCACAAATGGAATTATAACCATAGGCATACATGTTAACATTTATAATACATATTTTGGGTGGGGGATACAGTTCAATCTTGGTGATAAGCAAGGTCAGTTTGAACAGCAAGGCTGGAGGTTCAAACACACCAGTTGCTCCTTGGAAACCCTATACAGGGTCTCTATGATTTGGAAAAAACTTGACGGCACTTAACAAGAGTTCAACCAGTATTAGCATTTCCTTTTACTTTCCTACTCTCTACCTTTTGCCAAGTAGGTAGTAACCATACTGCACTCCACCTTTCTCTGCTGCCAACTTCTCCACTGCTGACTAGATTCCTGTCAGCCCCCAGCAAACCTGTAAGCCAGTTCATACTCAGTTCTTCTTTTTGAGTGCCTTCTCCCCTCCCACTGCTTCCTTTTAGTTGCAGTCTTCTTCCTTTTTCCTTGAGCAGAGCCTCCCTGTGACCCCACCCAATATTGCTGTTTGGTAGTTCACTATAGTATTTTTGCTTATCAACTTGCATTCGGCTGACTGGCATGTTTGAAAACAGTCTGTCATATTCCCCTCCCAAGTCTACTAGCCTTTAAAAAAAGGATAGCCTGGAATAAGTTGCTATAGTGGTGATGTTTCAGTTACTAGTGGCATAGTATGAAGAAAGTATTTTGGACAGGAGGCCTTTGAGAACTTTTTCAAATCATCCTTTATTTGGTAACTAGCCTACTTTCCTGAGCCCAGAGCAGAGAAAATATCCTTGGGTGGCCAGGTCACCTCTATTCCTTTTATCATTTGTGTGTGTGTGTGTGTGTCTCCAACAACCTTCTAAGACCTGTAGTCAATTGCTGTTACCAAGTGCCGTTGAGTCAGTTCTGACTCAGTGACTGTTTAGGGTTTCCAAGAAGTGAAACCCTTGTGGTTAGCAGTTAGATGCTTATCCTACAACTCATCTATGAATTGACTCAAACTGGCTGTTGGTAGGAGATGCCTTAGTGGGAAATACTGTGTATCCTTTAGATATATATACAACTACAACTTATTCGTCTAATGGGATGGTTTTTAGATCATTTTTTTCTGTGTAAAGTTCTCAACTAAACACATGGTAACATGAAAGAGTGTAAGGAACCTCAAGGAAGACACGTTTGTAAAGCCATTACTTTTTTCATACTAGTTAGTTACTTGTTAAGTGCCATTGAGTTAGTTCTGACTCATAGTGACCCTGTATAGGGTTTCTGAGGTGCGGCTAGTAAGTTTGAACCAGCGACTTTGCAGTTCTAACCAACCTTGAGGTGGAGTGTTTATTCTACAGCGCCAATTAGGTTGCAAGGTTCTAGTTGCCATCAATTCTGATTCATGGAGACCCCATCTGTGACAGAGTAGAACAGTAGTGGATAGGTTTTTGAATAAGTGATCTTTCAGAAGACATCTCTGGGTGGATTTGAACAATCAACCTTTCAATTAGTAGCCAAGTGCTTAATCATTTGCACTACCAGGGACTGAAGTTTTTATATAAGGTAGTATAAAATAGATACAAGCCATATATTGTGAGAACTCAAAGAAGAGACTGTACATGTTAGGCAATAAGTTGGTTAGAGAATGTTTCATAGAAACTTTTGAGCTTAATCTTGAAGCATTCAGGAGGAAGAGGATTTCATACTAGGATGAGCTAAAGCACTGAACTAAAAAGTATTAGGCATATTCTTAGATCATTACTACATTAATGTGATGAGAACAGAGCACATTAAGGGCACTAGAAGGAAATGGTAGAAAGATATTCTGAGGTTGGAGCAGGGCTGCATTTTGTCCTTGTCTTTCCTACTCCAGGCAGACACTTGTAATTTTTTATCCTAATTCCCAGTGTCTAATTCATTAGTTTTAAATTGATGAAATACACAGGAGTCAAATTGACTTCTGTGGGAAGAGACAATGGAGAAGCTCAGTCTTACCAGCCAAAACAAGGCCGAGGACTAACTGGAGCAGATTATTAATTGCTCATATGGTAGTTCAGGCTGAAGCTGAAGAAAACTAAAGTCCACAATAGTAAAAAAAAAAAAAAAAATGATCTTGAGCACATCTCATCTGAATTTAGGGATCCTCTTGAGAACAGATTTGACACATTAAACACTAATGATCAAAGACCACATGAGTTGTGGGATGTCATCAGAAATACACAAGAAGAAAGCAATAGGTTATTTGAAAAAAAACCAAAAGCAGGAACCAAAGAAAAGACAAAAGTGATTGTCAAAAGAAACTCTGAAACTTGCTCTTGAATGAAGCATAGTTAAGTGACTGGAAGAAATGATGAAATAGAAGAGCTAAACAGAAAATTTCAAAGGGCAGCTCGAGAATACAAAAATTAAGTATTTTAAAATGAAATATAAAAAGATGTGGATACATGGGAGTATAGGTGGAAGCCCGAACCACAACCAGACCTTCAGAGACGGGAAATTTCTCCACTTGAAAGGACAAGCAGACCAGCCGGGAGCAGCTAGAAAACCAGAAAATACCTCTTGAAAGAAGGACCTACAGGAAAAATACAAAACAATAAGGGCAGTCCGACTGTTACCACAAGAACATACAGGTGGCCTGCCCAGGAGACATCAAGGCAAATGATGGGATCCTCTCAGTGCAAATTCTCTTCCAAGACTAAGATGCAAGGGAAATATACACTTTGACTGGCAACCACGCATGTCACCCAGAAGGGGAAGTGGCCGAAGAATGTCAACGAAGGGGTGAGCTAAGCCCTACATGGTTCAGCAAACTACTGTGAACCCGGATGGAGAACTGGTCGGCCAGTAGCAAGGCAACATCTGGGGACTCATGGGCTCAGGGTCAGTGACACAGCCACAGAGGTCTAGAGTGGAGAGTGGGGCGGCCAGCCGATAAAAATAGGCCAGACAGACATAAGAACACCCACACCTGCAGATGATGCCCATTTGATTGGACTTCAATGACTGGATAAACAGAGCTCAACCCTAAGAAGAAAGAAGAGGGGAAAAAGCGTCATCTGATACAATTCGATAAACATGACCTACACCTATAAATGCAGTAGCTCAAAAGAGGAAATAAGTCCCTGCTGCAAGAACTATACCCACCCCCTCCACACAAAGGGTAGACAGGGATGGGCAACTTGGACATTGGCTACCCAAAATGGGGGGAGGGATACAAAGGCAAGAAGTGACTGGCTTACAAGCTTTCAAGAGGGAACCTAGATCCAGAGGGCGTGGAGGGAGGTGGAGTCCCCAGTGAGTGGTGTCCAGCCTGTCCAGGAAGGGCTGATGAAACGAAATATATAGATGGGTCTCTTGTGATGCAATGGTGAATAATTGTTATCAGGACTGATTGAGAGGGTTGGAAATCTAAAGATGGACATTTTGTAACAAAGAGGGGAGTGATTGATTTATCAGTCTAGGAGCAGAGGACCCTGGGACCATCAATGGAGAAGAGTGAAGAGCGGAATCCTACCCAGTGAGGCCTGGGATGGAGGCAGAGAAGACAACATCAAGAGATGGTGGGGCTGAGATCAGGAGATGGAAAGGGGCTGACGACTGTGGTGGGAGGGGGGTGCAGGTTTACAGGGCACACCCCTTGGTTGGGTGAGGATGCATGGACAGGATGATAACTATGCCAACGAAATGATGGATGATGGAATGAATGTAGAGCTGATGTTCTCCCGTGTAGATTATCACACAATTCACAATAAAACATTTAAAAAAAGAATGATCTCATGAGCAAACCAGCCTGGAGCGGCTAGAAGAACAGAAGATACTTCTTGAAAGATAGACCCACAGGAAAAGTACAAAACAAAAGAGGCAGATGGACTGTTACTACAAGAACAAACAAATTGCTTGCCCAGGAAACACCAAGGCAAGTGGTCGGGTCCCCTCAGTGCAAACCCCCTTCCAAGACTAAGACACAACGGAAATACGCGCTCTGATTGATGACTACACGCATCACCGATAGGGGGAAGTGGGGTAAAAGCAGCAATGAAGTGGCAAG